TAAATATAAATGTATAAGAATTATTGTAACTTTTTGCCTATCATCAATCGCACTACTCGGATCTTAGTTGTCATTTTATACAACTCAATTTGTATTAAAACATTACACTTCACATTTAATAGTCTGGCATCAGTCTGCTTAACGTCACACAGATGTCTGCACATCCTGGAATCAGCACAGATAACGCTAGCGCGCGCCATTGCGTTGATTGATGGCGCATTACTGTTGCCGGCGATTGACGCGCCGTAATGCGCGTGCGCACCGCGGAAGCTGCGGCAAATGACGGCCGCGCGGCGGGTGTTTAGCGATCAGTGGGCATTTGCCTTTATCGGTTGCGCCGTTAATTATGCAGGTAGACATGAAAGTGCAATTACCGTTTTTGTTTGAAAGCAACTAAGGATATATTTACTACCTACGTTATTATTCAAAGATTGCAGGAACCCGATACTCTAAATTTACTTTAGCCGCTCATAAAAATGTAGGTGTTTGAGAATTTATTAACATTTTACAACACCGGAATATCTGTATTTAACTTCACATTTATGCTTACTTATGTCAAGTATTTGAATTCATTTGTAAATCTTACGCAAAATCGCCTCGTTAATTATATTTATTATTTATAGTATTTCCGACAGGTAACGATGATCGATGACTTTATGATGACTGTCTAATTAAGAGTGATACTTGTGTGATTATGATATTGCACTGACGACAGCACACATTAAACTTTACACTGGCGTCGGTATAGGTGTCAATTTTAACAATGGTTTTTGGTGTGCGCTTAATAATCCTAGTGGCAATGGTAACCATAAATAAAAAAAACGACAATGGCAATGATGATAATATTACTAACTCCTCACCTATCAGTACCGACCGATTGTTACCGAATATCATCTAAATTAACAGGTTGTCTCATTTGATATTATGTGATAGATAATATCCAAGGTGACAAAACTGGAAGGAGTTGCTTTACTAGAATCACTAAAACACGCGTAAAAGACCTTGAACTTGTGTTAAACTGAGGACAAGCAAATACACACCTGACTGGCGAGGACGTCGCTGATCAAATAACTGGCCTGACGGCTTCTGGTCCACTTCCGTGACTTCTAAAATTCAACGTTTTGCCACAATTATTTGAATTCAGTGTTGTTAATCAAATTAAAACTAATGGTGTGATATCACGAAATGTTACAAGTCGTCGACTAGGTATTTACCTACTAATTTCTGCTTTGTTACTATTAATCTTAAAACAAATTTACGCAACAAACCACACCCTGCAACGAATGTTAATCAAACAGTTATTAGATTGCAAATTAACTCGCGGGCAATAAACAATGTTAACGGTTGTTCTGAAGTGAACATAATATTTACATACCTACCTACTTCCAAATTCTACATTTATTATATCCGGAATACTGATTATTATACATGAAAACAAGAAGAATTCAAATTCGTTTGCGTGTCAATGATTGTGGCTATTGCAGTAATAGAGGGTGTCCAGTCCGGTGACCACGCACGAGCGATCATTCCAAACACGTCATTTGCGTTTCACGGGAGATGAAAGCTTTCGATAATAGAGAAATGACAAACGCACTCTAATCATGGTCGTGAACACACGTTTGAATGGAGTATTTCAATGTCACCATGTCTTCAATAGAAGCTTATGACACAAGTTAAGAACCTACTCTACTAAGTACTTCGATGACATCATTGTGTTTACGAAGACATAAATAAATCGTGAAAACTGGTAATGGTAAAACGCGTCCTTGACAAAATACATTAAATTTAGGTACACACATCGGAAAAATTCTGGCTCATTCGAAAACTACGGATATGTGGGTACTTCTTGCAAAATAAGTGTGATTCATCTAGCTCGGCTTCTCACAATGCAACTAGGGTACCAAATATTTACACAGGTAGACGACCTCGTCGCTTTATCTGTATTCCGCTCGAGTTTATCCTCCGCCTCCTCTGTCACATGACACCCACATTTTTTCTTTTATTACGTTCTTTTGCATAAAATAAACTGCAAAACCCTCCTTTACGTTTATTTATTAACAACCGCTGAAATCCGTTTAAATGTAAAATAGGTATACTTTGCGTCCATTTCCAAGAGATTATCTTGAGTATTGTGGTAGCAGCAGTAAAGTCTTTATCATTTGCTTTTATTACTGTTGGCCCGTATTACTTTACCTTTCTTGTAGCTAGCGACTGAAGCATTTAGAATACTATGTTATAGTGTTCCAACTGTGCAAATGGCTGTTTCATTATAATCTTTGCATCTTACAATGTTTAAAAAGTCGTTGTGGAATTAGAAACGACTTGTGTATAATGCAGGTGGTAAAATCAATAAACAATTCTGAACCACGGTTGGAATGATAGCACTGACATCAAACAGGTTCCCTTTTATGGCGCTGAAAATACCCACCTTTAAAGGGTTCAATGTGTTGAATCGAAGGTGAAATCGGGTGCAAATGGGGGACGCCAAATGTGAGGCCGTTAATCTCTTCAGTATCAGGCCTTCGGTATTTTCTGGTTTTCCTCTTACGGCTTCAATAATAGTGTTAAAAGATGGGCTTTTACCTTTGCGGTTTTTTTGGGATGATTTCTTTTCTTAAGGCCCTTCGTATAATATGGGATGCTAAAGACACACTTTACAGTTGATATTTTATGGTCGAAGTGTCGTAAGTTTTTAATAGTCCATTGTGAGTCGAACTGATCAAACACTCTTAGTCTTTACTGTCTCTTGAATTGTAATCAGGCTTTCTCCAACACTTAACGAGCAAACTTTCAATAAAACAAAGGCAGTTTAAGCTTTCGAACAAAGCAGCGGGGTTTTCTTAGCGTCATGTCGGCAATAAATTCCGATACATCACGCATTAGCCGATACGAGCTGATACCGTAATCGCGGACTACAAGAAACCCAATATGCGACGGGAGAAAATTGTGAAGTAGGGCTGTCGGAAGATTGTTTTCTCATAAGCTATGTCGCATTGTATCATCAGCTATGTCGGTACTACATTTGTTGCGATAATTTTGGCAATTTAATAATTATGTAGATTTAAGAATATCCGGTGCTTTAGTGATTAGCCACCAATTTGGTAACGAGTCATGGACGTTTTAAGTCCAAAAGGAATTAAAAGGTCCATGCCAAAAATAACTGGAACAATGTCTTGCTTCAGATTCAGATTTATTTGCTATTCAGCAAGCTGCATCCTTGAATGGCTTCCAAAATAGCGACAGTTTTGGTCATCAATGGGTCACTGGGTGAGGAAATAAGTATTAAATTCGATATTCTGCAACCCTTTGCTCCGGCGAAGTTATGGAATGGTCGGATCGCGTTTCCTGGGTACATTAGCGGCACCGGCCCGGTACACGAAAGGCTGCCCTAATGCAGCCACGACTTGCTCGTTCCAACTTCAGTTCTAATTGATTGCCTGATGCGACCGGGATATTTACAATTTTCTAGGAAGTATAACCACGTCCGCTATAAACTATTATATTCAATTAGTACTAAGCTCATAAGCTTATGGTACCTCCTACTCAGCAGGAAAGAGTAANAATAGCTATGACACTCCACTCCACAGTCCACATCCATTTGCAATAAACATTACGACAGGAATATAATTAATTAATTTGTATTGCCACCACTACCAAGTACCTACTTACCTACCACGGTCGAAGAACCTATGTCCGTTCAAGGCGTAGAAGATTTTCTTTTAAGAATATTCTTTTTGGTTCGCACTTTGTACTCGTAGGTTTTTCTATTAAAACGTGACTGTGAAATGAACTAAATTATACAGGCTTTTTACGATATAGACTAGCTAATAAAACAAAAACGATAAAAAAACTAAGCTTGATGACTCCTTTACAAAAACATAAAATTAACGATGCTATATTTTAGGTCAGAAAATCTTTTGTCTGAAAGTTATTTGAGTAAAAACTGCAATTTGGCGTAATTTGCATGAATACAGCAGTCACGCAAAACTGTTTTCGTCTGATCTTCCACAAAATACTATTATGCGTGGCTACAAAAAAAGAAGTGAGTAGGTAAAGTTGAAGAAAAAAAAGTGCAGCGAAATGATTGAAAGTTCAAAAGTTACCTGAAAACTAACTAGTGAAGTCACGGAAACCGATGTAAATGGACAACTGAAACTTGATTTTGTAAATGCGCAACGGGAGACTAGTTCGAAACTTGAAAGAAAACAGATCCTGCTATTAAACTGTCGAACTCATGATAGATTGGGTTGGATCAATTACTCCGTCCACCAATCAGAGTCTTGGTAACTTAGTATTAATCTGTTTACGTATTCTTGCGTGTCAACGGTGATTGATCCTAAAGACTTCCTTTATATTCTGCCGAGTATCATGACACTGCAGTCTCATGTCGAAATGCTGGCATTGGTGAACAGAAGAGACCGAATTTTATAGCTCCTCTTTTCCCAATTTCATCGGACTTTCGTGGCTATGTCCAAATAAATATTCACACCTCTCGCTTTATAAACAGTTACTTAAGTATGGTTCGCGCGAGTTGATCACGCGAACATACTCCGCTGATTACTGCTCATTTGCAAAACTTAATTAGCAGACAGATTTCCGAGCTCGTACATTCAGCCAATGACGTTTTTTCTGCAGCATTTGTTAAACGCTTCATTATTGCATTTTCCTTATTCTGCAGTTAATTACTTTAATTCTCACTGCATTTGCATTCAAAAAGTTTCTAATTTTATTACCAAACGATGCATAATTAAAAGGATCGTCGTATCGATTAGCGTTATTTATTCTACTATAGGGGTTTCCAAGATATTTTGTAGCTTTTATTTTTGTACTTGAAAAAGAAAAAGTCTGTATCTTCAGTTTTTGGAAGCATGTTTTTGAACAGAAGTGGATATAACCTGCATACGAAAAACACAAATAGAGCAGGAATTAGAGCTACATACTACGTTTGTCTTTTGCAATACTGTTTGTTCAATCTTCATTTGTTTTATCCTTTGTTACAGAAAGAATCTCGCACTGACGTGCAGTTCCACCTGGCGGCGCTTCGAGGAGACTGCGAGCGGCTGCGGCAGCTGCTCGACACCGGCAAGGTGCACATCGACTCCAGGGACAGGGTAAGTCAGACTGAACAAATTCAAATTCTCTATTAGCCTCTTCAGGGCACTTATACGCGTCCCAAACATAGCTTGCCCTACCATGGGTTAGGAACACCCCTTCCAGAATAAAGCAGCAGCGTAGGTACATGGAAAAATTGTACTGTGAACTTCAGACACCTGATTCAAATTCAAATTTTTCGTGTTACCGACTTCAAAAAAAGAGGAGGATCTCAATTTATCTGTTCTTCGTCGAATCAAATTATTTTTCCATGCACATCGCTTATTAGTCTTGGCTATACGTAATTAATTTACCAATAAATATTTGCAATTTCATCAAGGCTGAAATATGGGTTCGTAAGGAGCGTTGAATGACCATTTAATAATGCAGCAGTAGCTACGTGTCTCCTGTATGAACCCTTATTCTTTCCCGCACCTGAGGCCCTAACTGTACCCGGGGGTAGAAAACCATTGCTACTGCTCGTATGTTTCATTGAGTAAATTAAACGTAAAAACTTATTCATATTTTCCAGTTGGATATTTGTAGGTATTTTTCAATTGTTAGATTTTTCTACACAAACCCGTCTTACAATATCCGTACTAAACTTACAACCTTGACCTACTTTTACTCAATTTTCCACTGTCGTTCTTCATTCACCGCGCGAATACTAAAATCTGATAGTAAATTCATTATTAATGGTAGGTACAGTCAACTTAACAATACCGATTGTTAATAAACTATTCTAAATTGCATTATTTCTAAAATTATAAAGTCCAAAGTTCCTCAGCAGTGCTGTTTATAGTTATGGCATAGTAGTGTATTCGGCACTCACGTACTTACTATTCAGCTACCCGCTAAACAATCGAGCTTTCGTACGAAAATAAAACGTGCCCCACTTTCAGCCGTTTGCTATTCTATAAAATTACTTTGAGCTTGGCGCAAGTGATGAGCGGACAATATTTACCTGTTTCAAGATTTCCTTCTCTTCAAGAACGGGACCATTTTCCTCAATCCTATTGTAAACTGAAGTGCTCATTATTAAAACTTTCCAAGTTCCAACATCACGAATGGCTGAATGTTCATTAACATCTGAATAATTATTATCTATCACCATATTTACGGTCATTCCCTTAATGTTTGATGTAATTATTTGAAGTTGAACCAGTTTTACTAATTCTTGTTTTCCTGCTCGCAATTTTCCACCGCTTCAACTCCTGCTTCACCCCAACCCCAAAAGTTCGCAGTTTGTTATTTTGCTAGTTTCTCGTCGTCTCCCTACGCAGGTCGTTGCGTAACCCTTTGATGAGGTTTCTCGTCATAATATTTGGCCTATTGCATAACGGCTCTGGGATTGCCTAGTGAACGGACGCATTGTTTTATTACCCTCGTTAAAACTGATAATGTTCAAGAATTGGCACATTCTATGAACCATCTTTTGTAATACAGAAATTGTAAGATCTTTAAATCTTTTTATGGGAGAGCTTTTTCTCTTCTCTTCTCGGCTCTTTATTTTTTTAGGGTTAGAAGATTTAAGCCTGCCCAAACCAGTAAGATTGGATTTCCCGGGCAAGGCAAGGCAAGGCGATGGTATTTTTCTGTGATTGCTTTTACAAAGGATTCGGAAAACGGATTTTCTCAGCCCTTATTATGCTGACAACACAGAGCTTTGCAAGCGTCCGTGTAATCAATTTCCAAGCAATGGTCATGACGAGAATACTTGAACTACGACAATCCATGAAAGCAATTAGTGAACAATAGTCATCAATCCATTGCATTCAGTGAATGAGACGAGTAAAACCAGAAGCAGTTAATCGCTACAGCGATACGCAGAAGTGGAGCGCACGCGCAGCGGACCGGTTCTACAGTTAGTGCGCTTATGGCGTGTTTATTGCACTGTGAGTGCACTCGTTTGTTCTCGAGATAAATATAGATCGATGCATTTGATGTTAGGTTATAGATTGGCCATGGTTTATGTTGAAAGAGATGTAAGATGAACGCTACAGTCCATTCATTCAGAAATAGCATGAAATGTTTCATCCGGTATCAATCACATCATTCACATCTTACAATCACTTTCATAATTCAATTGTATCACGAAACGGTAACGTTTTGATTAGATAGCAGCGTTGCCAGTTTTTTTTTTTCGCCAAGTCGGGACTTTGGTACTTTTTGAGTGAAAATAGGGTGCAGTCCTGTTGTCCCCCCTGCTTGGCCCCCCTAGGGGAGCCAACAGGATTTCGAAATCCTGTTGTCCCCCCTGGCTAGGGGAGACAACAGGACTAGATTTTTAATCAATGATTTGAGGACTGTTGTCCCCCCTGGCAAAAATGATTTAAAAGCCATAAAATTTTATAACATTTAAGTTTAAGAAGGACGGGAGTATAGATGACCCACGCTGAACTGTCCCGCCAAACTCAATGACAGGGGGGCGCTACCATCGTTCAACTTTATGGTTTCCAACATGGCAAAAATCGGAACCAGCGATTCGGTATTGACGGTGGCGCCCCGCTGTCAATGTCATCGATAGGACAGTTCAGTATTTTAGAACTATACCTGAATGAATGCCAAATTGACAAACTGAATACCTAAACGTATGTCAAATAATATTAACATTTGGATAACGAAAAAAATATAAGTTCTTGGTACCGGTACTATTTCAGACAATTTCAAAATCTGCTTTACTTGCTTTTGACAAAATCGTTTTGAATTATCCCTACTAAATCTTATATATATAAAAGAAAGTCGTGTTAGTTACTTCGCTTATAACTCAAGAACGGCTGAACCGATTTAGCTGAAAATTGTCAGGGAGGTAGTTTAGAGCCAGGAGAAGGACATAGGATACTTTTTATCCCGTTCGACAGCATTCCCGTGTGATTTGACATAAAACGTCAGTCACTATAAAACGTGGTACCTATAACAAAAAAGATTCAGACTTGGAATAACCAACCACGCGGGCGAAGCCGCGGGCGGAAAGCTAGTAATATTATAAATGCGAAAGTAACTTTATCTTTTTTTATTAATAAATACAAACATATAGCGGACAAAGCCGTAGGCAAAAGCTGAGTACCTCTATTATGCTATTCTCATGTATAAAAAATATTATCTAGGTAGGTACTGTAAAGTTTATCAAGTGTAAGTAAAAATCCGTTTAGTAGTTTTTACGTGAATGAGTATCAAACATCCATACTCACAAAGTTCCGCATTTACTTACAACATTAGTAGGTAGAATGCTAAAACTGAATAATTTTAAATCTATACCAGGCCTGGCTCACTCCGCGCGGTACATCCGATAATTACCTACAGCGAAGCGCCCCGCCGGCGGGTATTATATCAGTCGAGTGTCACGCGCGCCCTCGTCAGGACGCTGGCGTGCGTTGTAGTATGATTATAATTCTATGATCGAAGTATTATTTAAAAATGGACATAAAGAGAAAGAAATATTGTGCGGCGTTCGGGTGTTTAAATTCGAAAAGTAATCTACCGGATTTATCTTTTTTTTTCGCTTCCCAAAGATGCTGAAAGGTATGTTGGCCATGTAGGTAATCAATAATTCTTAGGATAGTATAGGAACCTAACCTACTATGAAGGTTTTCCATAATGAATGCATACTTACCTACATACGTACCTCATTACAAATAAGTAGATTAATTATTTTTTCACTAGACAGCAACCCTAACAGCGTAAGAAGAGTTCAGAAGTCCCTAGTTGAGTAGCTTTATTGATTACAATAGGAAATTGTATATAATTTAATAGTATTTACGTGTGGTTTTTTGGCTATTTTCGGCACATCGTATTAAGCATCTTATAATTATTATTTTTTTTATGCTAGCCAAGGCAGGTATTTGACCGCAATCGCACCTGGTGTAATATAAAGTTAATCTGCATTTGTGTTAAGTTTTACTCCAAATCGTCAGTCCCTAGAGCGTCAGGCCCTAGCTTTAAACGGCACTTGGGACTAAATTACTAGTTAGGGAATGATGTTTTTTATATAGTGATAATAACAAAACAACTACATTATGTATATTAACTTATCTGTAAATGTAAAGGTTATAAGTTTTATACTTTATTAGAAGTCATATAGGAGTAATGTAGTATGAAAAAATTGAAAATTATAATTTCTCCTAAAATAAAGCATAAAGTGACTGGCCCTTTTAGACATAACATAATTAATTAATAACCTATAATTTACACTTATAAAGTATTGAAAAGCATCTTAAAAAAGTCACGGATAAAATGACGTCGAAAATATACAGATTTTTATGGAATGACCCATTTACTAAATACTCGTAGTTATATGCAAATATTGCAGGAACCGGATACTCTAAATTTACTTTAGCCGCTCATAAAATGTAGGTATTTGAGAATTTATTAACACTTTACAACACCGGAATATATGTATTTAACTTCACATTTATGTTTTCTTATGTTAAGTATTTGAAATTTGAATTCATTTGTAAATCTTATGCAAAATCGCCTCGTTAATGATCTTTTATTATTTATAGTATTTCCGACTGGTAATGATGATCGATGACTTTGTGATGACTGTCTTAATATTAAGAGTGATAGGTAGTTGTGTGATTCTGATATTGTACAGCTACAGACGACAGCGCATTAAACTTTACACTGGCGTAGGTATAGGTGTCAATTTTAACAATGGTTTTTGATGTGCTGTTGATAATCCTAGTAACCATAATCAAGAAACGACTGGATGGTGGCAATGATGATATATTATTAACTCCTCATCTATCAGTACCGATTGTTACCGAATATCACCAAAATTAACAGGCTGACTCATTTGATATTATTTGTTAGATAATGTCTGGAAGGTCTGGCTGCCGACCTTGGGCACGCGGTTGAAGAACAGCAGCTCCATGCCAGCCCAAGGTGACAAAACTGGAAGGAGTTGCTTTGCTAGAATCACTAAAACACGCGTAAAAGGCCTTGAACTTGTGTTAAACTGAGGACAAGCAAATACACACCTGACTGGCGAGGACGTCGCTGATCAAATAACTGGCCTGGCGGCTTCTGGTCCATTTCCGTGACTTCTTAAATTCAACGTTTTGCCACAATTAGTTAGATTCAGTGTTAGTAATCAAATCAAAACTAATGGTGTGATATCACGAAATGTTACAAGTCGTCGACTATTTAGTACTTAATCATTGCTGATTTGTTACTGTTCTAAAAACGAATTTACGCAACAAACCACATACTGCAACTAATGTTAATCATACAGTTAGCCATTAGATTGCAAATTAACTCGCGGGCAATAAACAATATTAATTAACGGTTGTTCTGAACATAATATTTACATATCTGCTTGCAAATTCTACATTTATTATATCCGGAATACATGGAAACAAGAAGAATTCAAATTCGTTTGCGTGTCAATGATTGTGGCTATTGCAGTAATAGAGGGTGTCCAGCCCGCTGACCACGCACGAGCGATCATTCCAAACACGTCATTTGCGTTTCATGGGAGATGAAAGCTTCGGATAATAGAGAAATGACAAACGCACTCTAATCATGGTCGCGTCGTGACCACACGTTTGAATGGAGTATTTCAATGTCGTCATGGTCTTCAATAGCACCTTATGACAAAGCTAAGAAGAACTACTCTACTGAGTACTTCGATGACATCATTGTGTTTACGAAGACATAAATAAATGTTAATGGTAAAACGCGTCCTTGACAAAATACTTTAAAATTAGATACCCACATCGGAAAAATTCTGGCTCATTCGAAAACTACGGATATGTGGGTACTTCTTGAAAAATAGGTGTGATTCATCTAGCTCGGCTTCTCACAATGCAACTAGGGTACCAAATATTTACACAGGTGAGGTACACGACCTCGTCGCTTTATCTGTATTCCGCTCGAGTTTATCCTCCGCCTCCTCTGTCACATGACACCCACATTTTTTCTTTTATTACGTTCTTTTGCATAAAATAAACTGCAAAACCCTCCTTTAGGTTTATTTATTAACAACCGCTAAAATCCGTTTAAATGTAAAGCATACTTTACGTCCATTTCCAAGAGATTATCTTGAGTATTGTGGTAGCAGCAGTAAAGACTTTATCATTTGATTTTATTACTGTTGGCCCGTATTACTTTACCTTTCTTGTAGCTAGCGACTGAAGCATTTAAAATCTATAATATATAAAGCTCGATTACCACTCACTGACTGACTGACTGACTCACTGATCAGGGGTATTTTTGGGGTATTTAGAGGGGAGAGGGGTAAAATTGTTAGTGTTTGTTTTTTACTAGATTTTTTGACTGACAGCTTTACCACATTTTTTGAACCAAAAAACAAAATGGCGGCACTTTTTGAAACACAAACTTTTCTGTCTTTGGTCCTGAATTTTTTCTTTTTTGGTGGTTGGTTGGGATTGCCAAGGTGTGTTCAAAAATGTGAGAAAAAAACGGAAAAACAAAATGGCCGCGCCGCCATCTTGGATTGAAAATGCGATTTCGAGGTGTTTTTAGGGAGGTGTCACTCCGAGATGCGCAATTGTTTTTGAAAAATTCTTTTGAGTGTTTGTGACTTATATAGTCTGCTTCAGAGCCCCATTCACAGATTATCAAAAAACAAGATGGCGGCTGAGCCGTCGGCCATTTTGTTGCGATCAAAAAATTTCTAAACTTTGACAGCAATTTTCCGGGTAGTAAATAATATTTATTTTATTATTAAAATTGAATATTTTGATATTGATAAAATTGAATATATCTTTCGATTCAAATTCCGAATATTTTTCAATCGATAATAATTATCGAGAATTATTAATAATATTAAATTAAAAGTTGTTCAATCCCTAGTCATGCATAGACTAAGACGGTAACCATGGAGATAGTTAGTTTGGTAAGTCACGTGTTAAATGTCAAGAGTGGAAAGTAAACATAGGATTCATGTTATTTATTTACGTGCAAAATGTAAGTAAGTAAATCATAAAAGTGGAACGCCGAGCTATTTCCAAAACCCGTCCAATATTATAATACAATTTGGCTGCGACAACTACAATACAGAACATCTCCCAAATCGATGTGCATAAAATAATATAATAAAATACTAGTAAGTAAGAGGTTATGATAACAATATTGCTATTAATAAGTTTATAGAATTGGTCCGCCAGGAATAATTGTTCTTACATAAAGATTTGTGTCATTTAGAACCTAGAAAGTATTATTTCGGCACTGTTGATCTAACGGCGAACAATGTATGGAGAACGAACATTGTCCTTTCAAGTTTGTAAGTGTTAGTTAATACCGGCCGGCACCAATACCTATCAAAATTGTAATTATTACCTTGACAAACGTTTAGGTATTCAGTTTGTCAATTTGGCATTCAGTCAAATACTTCAGTTTTTCATAAATTATGCTATAAAAATTTATGGCTTTTAAATATTTTTTGCCAGGGGGGACAACAGTCCTCAAATCATTGATTAAAAATCTAGTCCTGTTGTCTCCCCTAGCCAGGGGGGACAACAGGATTTCGAAATCCTGTTGGCTCCCATAGGAGGGCCAAGTTGGGGGGACAACAGGACTGCACCGAAAATAGCGGGATTCTTCCGTCAGAAGCGGGACATAGTAAAAAACGTATATAATCAAAGGTTTTTCAAATATTTATCTTTTTATTTGACTTAAAATTACGTTTACGTGACAATAGATAGCAAAACTAGCCATAGAAAATGTATTTTAACAAAAAAATAATATTTTAAATCAGATTTACTCTATCGTTAAATTTGTGTTTAGAATAAAAAAAGAAAAAAAAAAAACAAAAATCGAAATAAAAAAATATTCTTTAGAATAATATGGCGTTTCAAACAATAGTCTGGTGAAGTGAGTGTCTCTCTCCGAAAAGCGGGACAGAGCCTGTCCCGCGCGGGACATTTAAATTTGTTTTAAAAATCGGGACGTCCCGCCAAAATCGGGACGTCTGGCAACGCTGTTAGATAGCTACAGCGAGTTTATAAACGAATCACTGAAACAAATTGAAATTGATGATTTACAACCGCACGAATTTCACTAATCCATTAAGAGCAAAACCATTTCCAGAATCTAAATAAAGACGCCGGATTCATACATCACCCTGCGAAACATCCGACACTCGCTCAAGCCATCGACGAATAAATCACAGCTAAGCCGGCTGCAATTTCCAGAAACGTTATTTCGCGAATTCACTTGGGAGTTCCTCAGGGCACAGTTTTAGGTCCGCTGTTGTAAATGTTAATTTAATTTATTCAGTGTTTAATGTGATTGGTATTCCGTTTCAGGATGGCACGACGCCCTTGATCCTGTCTGCCGCGATGGGACACACAGAGTGCGTGAAAGAACTTCTGGCCCAGGGGGCTGATCCCGCCTGTTGTAGAACGGTGTGTAAAATTGTGAAACATATTATCACTTCTGATATTTTACATTTTTATTGATTAAACAAACTGTTAGCTGAACAACTTCAACTAACTTGCTAGAGACTAAAAAAAGGTTATGACAGTTCTTTGAAGGTATTATTTAAGATTAAAGATAAAATCGATCTATTTGTCTTGATAATGTAGACCTATTTATTATTGAATAACCCTAATGAGATGAAATGTTATGAGATAGGTAGGGGAGAGACCGTGGTGAGTTGTGACACACTGTTACGAGTTCGCTATTAGTTAATAACTCCAAAAAAATCGACAATATCACAACTCTCCTCGGTCTCCGCTACCTTTTCGGAAGCAAACCTTAGAACTCTTGCTTTCTTAAATTACAAGAATAGAAGAATAAAGTAAAAGTCGTGTTCCCGCTAGACAGGAACGAGCGCGCTGTTCTTCGCGGCGCAGGGCGGCTTCCTGGACGTGGCGCGTCTGCTGCTCGACGCCGGCGCCGCCATCGACGCGCCCAGCACGGTAATTACACTTTTCAAATTCCATTTCTTTGTCTGGTCCGGGAGCACGTAGAATTTTGTCCAATGACCCCAAGCTACCCATCCTTATCTCTCGCGCGTAATTATATTGCTGTCGCGACTGTGCGACGGGCGCCCGCAGTGAGTGTGTGAGCGTGACAGCAACATAATACGCGTGAGCGATAAGTATGGATAGCTTGGGGTCATTGGACCAAATTCTACGTGCTCCCGGACCAGACTATAATAACTTGAACAAATTGAATTGCCTATGGTGGGAATCGAACCCACCACGATATTTCGCTTGCTGAGCGAATTCTAATTCTTTATTAGGATTTAGACCCTTTCCAGCCGGACTAGGATGCGCGCCGTGTAAAATCTTATCAATGATTTTAGACGACAAACGTTTGTATGGGTTATCGCGTATAATCGATAAAATTACGTGAAACTTATCACGGCGCGCATCCTAGGCCTACAGGACAAAAACACGTCCAAATATAAATTGTCCTACTGCCACTTCGGTAGTAATACTTTGTTGGAACTCTGGAACTTCATTGCTACAGCGAGAATTCTGCTTGACTACGACGCAGATAGGTGTATTAAAGCAATATTTTATTGCTGGGGAGGTTAACACCCAGCATTATTAAATTCGATTGTTTGTATGAAGAGGAAACAGCAATGGTCCAAGAAATGTGCCCTGTAGCACTCCCTAAAAAGTAGTACTTTCTAAGATTGCATGGCTCCTAGAACCCTAAAATATGCTTCAAACTACATTATGTGTTTAGTTCGTTTTCAAAAATGTTCCGTTTATGGTTTTGCAGGATGGTGGCACCCCATTGTTCGTGGCTTGCCAGTGCGGTCATTTGCCTGTGGTCGAAGAGCTTATCCGACGTGGTGCCAACGTGAACGCTTGTATGAAGGTTCGTTTAAATCAAATTAATAGAAATGTGTTCATTTATGGCCAAAAGTCATACAACAATGTTCTGGAGCAGGTGCAGATTATTTTCAATGCATTTATTTATCCCCTTCAATCCGTCTCGCTAACGAGTGTACCTACGCCAAATCCTCCATTATGATTTGCCTCACTGCCCACACTTTAAATTAAAGAGGGTCGTGTTTCTGTAGTGGATACAGTTACCTGATGGTGATGATGACGACATTTTCTAAATACTTTAACTTTCAACTTCATTTACACGTTCGTTATCATCTCACCTTGTAACTTGTCATCGAACTTCTATCCTTGTAAGACCGTCGGTCCCTTTAAAAGACCCAAATTCTAAAAGTAGTTCCGTCCTAAACATTTGAAAATCAATCTAGTGTATGACCGAAAGTCCTTTCCAGTGACCAAAAATGGCGCGACAGGATATAACATATTAGTTCTTTATGAAGGACCTTCGGCCTTACCTCTTATAAAATTTAATCTTTCGGTGTTTCGAGGCTCTCGAACCCCGGCTTAAGACTGTCTACCATTCCAGGACGGTGCCAGCCCGCTATTCATCGCAGCACAGAACGGGCACGAAGAAGTGTGCGTCACATTACTCCGTCACGGCGCGGCCGCGGACGCCGCGCGGGCCGACGGTGCCAGCGCGCTGTGGATCGCGGCGCAGTGCGGGCACGACCACGTGGCGCGCGCGTTGCTCGCTGCTGGCGCGCCCGTCGACCAGCTTCGACAGGTAACAACGACCATCTACTATAGTGGATGTCTGGCAGACCTGTGTCAGCCGCACAATGCCCTACAGGGCCCTACATAAGAATGTTCTACCTAGGTCTTTATAGAGAAAGTTATACATCACACTTCTTTCCAGTGTGGTTTCCTCCACCAATGCCAATGACAAAAGAATCTGTCTGACGCTAACCGCTGAGAAGGAAGGGTTGGAGTCACAAACAGAGAAACTCATCAAAAACCTCTCTTCTGGATTGAGGTTGAAGCCTGTGATGAGTCACTACATATCGAATTTTGTTAGCTGTGTCTGTAGTGACCTAACATAACGGCTACCCCTGGCTAGTAAATGTAATCTTGCAAAGGTCTTTCAGCTAATGTCAGACTTAAGGGGTGACTCAATCCAACTTACCCCTCTGCAAAATAAAATCCTAACGTACGTTTATTGGTCGCAGGACGGAGCCACGCCGCTGTTCAAGGCGGCGCACAAGGGGCACGCCGCTGTGGTGGCCGAGTTGCTCAAGTACAAGCCCAACCTCGGCATCCTGCCGGTAACTACATTCACTACTTACTTGTACACTAACTCAAAAAGCGTTGTTTATTTTTATAACAAGTCATTGCAAACGACTACAATATTTACATAGATTCCTGACATTTTTATAGTTAGCTGACGTTTCCACAGATTGCTGACATTTCCAGAAATCGCTGACTTTTTTTTTATGTGACAGGAGGCACATTTTTTTGTGTCCTTAGTTCGCTGACTCATAGAATAAGAATAAGAAAAACTTTATTTGACACAAAAAGAAAATAAAAAAACAGAAAAAAGGGACTTAAAACTGTACACGCAAATTTTTGTACGTGTACAGTTTTAAGTCCACAAAAAGGCGCCCGCTCAGCATTAATCGTGCCCCGACCCTGGTTTTCAGCGGGTATTCATAGCTTGCTGCGGGATAAGTTTTGAACGTCAGTAGTAACACTAACCTTACTTAACCGTTTCCCTAATGATTAATTTACGGTCACTACTCCTCAGAACGGTCAGTCCGCATTGCACGGCGCGGCGATGTTCGGTCAGCTGTCGTGCGTGCGGCTCCTGGCGCGAGTGTCGCCGCGCGCGCGCTCCGCCGCCGGCCTCACGCCGCTGCAGGCCGCCGCCGCCGCGCGCAAGACCGACGTCGTCGCCTACCTGCGCCGCCTCGAGCACTCCTGATACAAGCGCACGCAAGCTGACGCCTGATCAACGACGCTCACCTCATGCTGACGCCTGGTCAACGACGCTCACCTCATGCTGACGCCTGGTCAACGACGCTCACCTCATGCTGACGCCTGATCAACGACGCTCACCTCATGCTGACGCCTGATCAACGACGTTCACTTTATGCTGACGCCTGATTAGGAGGCTCGAGCAAGACCGACGTCGTCGCCTACCTACGCCGCCTCGAGCACTCCTGATACAAGCGCACGCAAGCTGACGCCTGATCAACGACGCTGGCCTTATGCTGACGCCTGATCAACGACGTTCACTTTATGCTGACGCCTGATCAACGACGTTCACCTCATGCTGACGCCTGATCAGGAGGCTCGAGCATGAACCTCTCTGAATTCAAACCTGTGACTGTTACGCCGCCTCGACCACTCCTGATACCCACGCGAGCCGCATGCTGACGCCTGATCACGACTCTCACCTCATGCTGACGCCTGATCAGGAGGCTCAAGCATAAAACACTGGATTCAATCAAGCCTGTGACCGTTGCGCCGCCACGACCACGCACTCCACTACAAACGGTTTTAAATTGTAGAAGCATAATGATATACTTACGTTACTTTTTACTGAGGTGTGGTAACTGGTATGCCAACTGACACAGCGAAGAACAGCATTTACGCACCATTATTTATTATTATTACATGAATCAAATATTTACAAAACGCACACATTCATCTTTCTTTACTAGAACTATCTCAGTGTATAAGCCAAATCTCAAAAAAATTGATACATTTTAAATTAATATATGGGTAATCTCGAATTCAATGCAATCTTAAAATATCTGATGTAATTTTTTAATGTATTTTATGATATTATTAACACGAACTCTCATAATAATTAATAGGGTAAAATCATAAGACATAAAAGTATACTATTTTGTATATTATACACTTTAGCCACTCGCCTTATGCAAGAATACCTCACACATTACTGTTATCTACTATTTGTTATAAGCAAATGGCGGTAGATGTTACTTTAACTTGTATTAGTATGAACTTAAATTTTATTGTTCTTGAAAATCAGTTAACTTTTAAAAATTACCCAAAATGTCAGTTAAAAAATAATCAATTATTAATTCTATAGCATATTATTAAACTATTATGTTGTATTACAATACCTTGTGGCAATAATTATTGCACATCTACCGCCGTTTTTATCTTTCATGAATCTTATGAGCGTTGATTTGTGGTGCTGGTAGCATAATCATTTTTCGTTCGACTAGTCACACTAGCTATGTATTTACTTGTTACTTGTATTTATTTTACACCAATTGTTCTATTTTAAGTTTGTTTCTTAATAAAATACACATTATATATTTTTAAAATTGATTGATTAAATAAATACTGAGCTTATCACCGAATATACTAAGCAACAGCACTTGTACTTATGTACACTGTGATAAAATAGTCAATTGGTGTGAAATATATAAAAAACTAGAAACATACACTTACCTTTAGCCTAGGAAATTGTATTTTGCATACAAACACATAGGTAAATGTTGCATAATAATCGTAGGTTATAAGGTACTTTGGAATCTGTCTGTTGTATCGATATTTTAATCGGAGCATGTAGTTGTAATTTATTTTTAGAACAGCTTTTGTTATCTATAGTTTCNATCCTAACGTACGTTTATTGGTGGTCGCAGGACGGAGCCACGCCGCTGTTCAAGGCGGCGCACAAGGGGCACGCCGCCGTTGTTGCCGAGCTGCTCAAATACAAGCCCAACCTCGGGATCCTGCCGGTAACTACATTCACTACTTACTTGTAGTAGACTAACTCCAAAGTTTTGTTTATTTTTAACAAGTCATTGCAAACGACTACAATATTTCCATAGATTGCTGATATTTTTATAGTTAGCTGACGTTTCTTTCCACAGACTGACATTTGCAGAAAGCGCTGCCTCTTCCAAATTTTTTGATTTTCCATAGCTTGCTGACATTTTCGTAGTTTACTGACATGTCCATAACTCGCTGACATTCTAATAGCTTGCTGCGGGATAGTTTTTTAACGTCAGTAGTAACACTAACCCTAAGTATTTAACCGTTTCCTAATGACTAACGTCCGTATTCACAAACATTACTATGAGGTCTCACAGTGTGCGTGAACGCAGAGGGTTACACACGAACCAATCACAAGAGTTCTATTCAACGCGGTGCGTTCGATTTGCTGCTTCACTTAAGCAAGCATCGTTTGTGAATACGGGTGTAATTTACGGTTACTATTCCTCAGAACGGTCAGTCAGCGCTGCACGGCGCGGCGATGTTCGGTCAGCTGTCGTGCGTGCGGCTCCTGGCGCGAGTGTCGCCGCGCGCGCGCTCCGCCGCCGGCCTCACGCCGCTGCAGGCCGCCGCCGCCGCGCGCAAGACCGACGTCGTCGCCTACCTGCGCCGCCTCGAGCACTCCTGATACAAGCGCACGCAAGCTGACGCCTGATCAACGACGCTCACCTCATGCTGACGCCTGATCAACGACTTTCACCTTATGCTGACGCCTGATCAAGTCAGCAAAAGGTGAATTGCTGACGCCTGATCAGGAGGGTCAAACATGAACCACTCTGGATTCAATCAAGCCTGTGACCGTTGCGCCGCCTCGACCACTCTCCTGATACCCGCGCGAGCCGCATGCTGACGCCTGATCACGACTCTCACCTCATGCTGACGCCTGATCAGGGGAGGCTCGAGCATGAACCACTCTGGATTCAAAGCCTGTGACCGCTGCGCCGCCTCGAACACTCCTGATACTCGCGCAAGCCGCATGCTGACGCCTCATCACGACTCTCACCTGATGCTGACGCCTGATCAGCAGGCTCAAGCATGAATCACTCTGGATTCAATCAAGCCCGTGACCGTTGCGCCGCCACGACCACGCACTCCACTACAAACGGTTTTAAATTGTAGAAGCATAATAATATACTTACGTTACTTTTTACTGAGGTTCGGTATGTAACTGGTATGCTAACTGACACAGCGAAGAACAGCATTTACGCACCATCATTTATTATTATTACATGATTCAAATATTTACAAAACGCACACATTAATTTTTCTTTACTAGAACTCTCAGTGTATAAGCCAAATCTCAAAAAATTGATACATTTTAAATTAATATATGGGTAATCTCGAATTCAATGCAATCTTAAAATATCTGATGTAATTTTTTAATGTATTTTATGATATAATTAACACGAACTCTCATAATAATATTAATAGGGTAAAATCATAAGACATAAAAGTATACTATTTTGTATATTATACACGTTCATAGCCATATCGTGCAGCTTTAGCCACTCGCCTTATGCAAGAATACCTCACACATTACTGTTATCTACTATTTGTTATAAGCAAATGGCGGTAGATGTTACTTTAACTTGTATTAGTATGAACTTAAATTTTATTGTTCTTGAAAATCAGATAACTTTTAAAAATTACCCAAAATGTCAGTTTAAAAGTCTTCATTTATTAATTCTATAGCATATTATTAAACTATTATGTTATTATTATGTTGTATTACAATACCTTGTGGCAATAATTATTGCACATCTACCGCCGTTTTTATCTTTCATGAATCTTATGAGCGTTGATTTGTGGTGCTGGTAGCATAATCATTTTTCGTTCGACTAGTCACACTAGCTATGTATTTACTTGTTACTTGTATTTATTTTACACCAATTGTTCTATTTTAAGTTTGTTTCTTAATAAAATACACATTATATATTTTTAAAATTGATTAAATACTGAGCTTATCACCGAATATACTAAGCAACAGCACTTGTACTTATGTACACTGTGATAAAATAGTCAATTGGTGTGAAATATATAGAAAACTAGAAACATAAACTTACCTTTAGCCTTGGAAATTGTATTTTTCATACAATCACATAGGTAAATGTTGCATAATAATCGTAGGTTATAAGGTACTTTGGAATATGTCTGTTGTATCGATATTTTAATCGGAGCATGTAGTTGTAATTTATTTTTAGAATAGCTTTTGTTATCTATAGTTTTAGCTGTAATATCTGAAATTGAAGAAAAAATAATAGGTTGTATTATAATAATAAATATTTATTTCTTTTTTTTATATATAAAATTACTAATGTCATCCGTAATGGGCGGCTGAGCGCTCAATTATTATAATAATTGTTGTATATGTCTAAGATATCGTAATTATGAGATATAATGTGTGATGAGGTTTGAATCTTAGTATGTAATAGAAGTATGAAACTAACACTACTTGTTTTAAGATTATAAACTCGCATAATTTTGTTACCAATCGTGTATTCTTTGTCTATGAACCTCGCAAGGATTATAATAATCACATTTATTTTGTTATTTATAATACCACTATTCACCACACGAGGAGTACGCAAATAAAAAAAACTGTTTTATACAATATTTACTTTATTACATACTAATAACTAATAATATTTTATAGTAATTATATAATCTTACTTTTATTGTCATGATATTTTAAATGTCATTTTACATGGTATGCTCTTATATTCCGAAAAGTAAAAATCATACTATTCGTGTAGGCTTATTTTATTCATAAGCATTTGCATAAAGAAAATACAATGTATTGCAGTGAGTGAATGTATGTGTAATAATAATTATTAAGTACACGAGGGTATGGTGTTTGTTGAGTTTTTATTTATTACGAAATATAGTTGTTTATAAACCTATAATGGCATTTTATTAATTTGAAGAAAGTCACCTTACTTTATTCGCTGTTTGTTAAGTTTCTAAAAAGTCAGAACGAGAATTATAATACATTAAATAAGGAGCATCTGTCATTTAGAGTTGGCATTTATTGTAAATTAAACTTAGCCTAAAGATATCCTCGTAATACCGTTAGTCCCTTTAAAAGAACCAAATTCTCAAAATCGTTCCGTCCTGTACATTTGAAAATCAATCTAGTAGGTGTGACCGAAGATCCTTTCCAGTGACCCAAAACTTCATCATACATATTCGTTTAAATTTTCGCGCCAAATGTTGATTGAATTGTTTTATGACTTTGAAGTCTTGAACGTGTATCCAAACGAGCTTCGATTCCTGAACGCACTGACAGCCATCAAGAAATGTAACTTTACTTTGACAAAATGGAGCGACCGCGCCGATGTGTTAAGAAAATATTTAAGTATTTTTACTTACTATAAAATAAATAATAAATAAATAATAAATAAATAAAAGTTTATTTAACAACTTTAACATTTTTTTTAACATTGCTTACATTGCATTGTTGTACATACATTTCCTTAAAGACCCGTTTAATGCTAAGGTTGTACCGACATACGCTTCAGTTCATAAAGTAACTGTACTAACGTAAGAAGAATCCTTAATTAGAAATAGTGATTGACGTCGCAAGTCAATGTTTTTTTGTTTTCATTTAATGTTCCGATCTCTATAAACCTTCAATTTTATAGTTCACTATAAAGGACCTTCGATCGATATAGTTTGTCATGTAAAAAAAAATGTTGGTTGGAAAAATCGTAAAACGATTATTAAAACAAAAACTTCAAATATAAATAACGACTCCTTCACCTCCTACTAGATGGATCGACGATCTGGTAAAGGTAGCGGGAAGAGCCTGGAATGCGGGCAGTGCAGGACCGTGCATTGTGGAAAATCTTGGAGGAGGGCTTTGTCCAACAGTGGACGTCATTTGGCTGAAACGAACGAACGAACGAACGATATAAATCGATAACCTATTCTTGCTAAAACCCTACAAATGAGATTTCAATTTTAACTTTTTAGTTTGTAAAACCATAAGTTCCATATGAAAATATGAAGTAAGTAACAAATCAAAATTTTAATTTGAAGTGCTGGGACTGACCTATAAAATATTAGTTCTTTTTGAAGGACCTTCGGTCTTACCCCCTTCTTGTAAATTTTATCCTCTCGGTCTTACGAGGCTATGTGCCTTTTAAATAAAATATTTATTGAACCTTTAAAAAGTGCATAGCACCTAATAAACTCATAAGGTATGAAATCAATATTTAATTATAAACCGTACTTTTATACCGTATATTTTAATCAAAGTAGACGGATTAATATTTAATTAAAAACAATTTGAAATAACAATATTAGAATTTTATTTATTCCTAAAAAGTACATTATTTATTTATAACTGTAATAACATAACAATTAAAAAATTCTACAAGTTTACACGATAAAATTAAATGTTTGTAACACAAGAAAGTTAAATCTATTAATAGTTCATTTAACATAACATACAATTAAAGTTAATTACCTGGTTTAAATAATAATTAGTAGGTACACAATACTTGTAATAAGTTAGAAGTTACCTAAGCTTACCTAAGTTAAAATTAATCAGTACACTCAGTACTCACTTACAACTAAACGTCTAAAATCACATCCACCTACATATTTCTGCCAGTTTCATCTTCCAAAAGTAGGTACAGGAACAAACACTCTTCATTCTTCCACAACACTGATGCGATTTTTCCAAAAATCAGCCAAATCTCTGAACCTCTCGTTGCACTGCCGCTTCCTCCTCGGGCTACACTTCACCGGGTTGTTCAGAACAGAAGTAAACTTGTGCACGAGGGTTGTGACAGAATCTCGAGTGGCATCATCGAATTCCACGTCTCCGTTGGCCACGCTGGCAATGGTCGAGTTGAGCTGCTCGAAAGCTTCATCGATGTACCGGTCCACGTCGTCACTGTCGCGCTTCTCCCGCTGCGAGTCCTCAGTGTCGTCGAAGGACAGCCCGTCCACCGACATGCTGCAGTGCACCACCTCAGGCAGCGGCTTCTTCCTGTGACGGATGGTGCTGGTCGCGGAGCAAAGCTTCTCCACCGACTTGAAAATATCGTCAATCTTCTCGCAGATCTCCTCCACCGAGAACGCCGACAGTATCTGACCGCTGATGTAGTAAAACTGCTTCTTTGGAGCATCTTCGGGGATGTCGTCGTGCAGTTCCCGGATGAATTTCTTGTAGTCGATGTTGGAGGACTTTTTTGACAGCTGCCTCCCCAGCTTCTTGCGGACGGTCTTCATGATAAACGACGAGTCAAAAGTCGAACGCCGCAGGTCGAGGGAGCTGAATACCGGCTTAAGTTTCGAGGGCGTCAGGTCTTCCAAATCCTCTGTATCCAGGTCGATAGGCTTCCCCCATTTTTCTTCAAGTTTCTTCCACTGCTCGTTGTACGATAGCATCGATTCCGGGTCAAAAAAGTAGGCACCGCTCATTTTTAATGTAATATCGATAACTGGACGTTAACCGCGCAAAAATCGGGTCGGGACTGCGAGCAATGTGCAAGCGCACGTCGTGTCGTTAGTAAACTGTTTAATTTGCGATTTTTTATTGAGCTACCTTCATTAGATTAGTTATTCGAATAGTAGCTTTTTGTTTTGCAAAATATTAACACTAATGATATCGTTATGAATTGGTAGATTAATTTTTAACGCACATTAGATTGTTTAATAATTATATGTATGTAATAATAACTTTTTTGTTAATTTTAAGTTTTTCAATGACTTTCCGAGATAAGTTTGTGTTGTTTTGTTGATAAAAGCATTTCGCAATTACATTTCAAAACTGCTTGATGAATGAATTAGACTTGAAACTGTCTAACTTACTGCTGTGGAACTTGACTGGTTATTAAAAAATATACCTACCACATATTGGGAGTGATTTTACGCCATGTCTCGGAAATTGGTTCAAATTTTTGTCCTAATATGTATACAGAACAGATTTAGTAAAACATAAACACAATATTTATCGAAACTGTGACGAAAATAAATGTAGAAAACTCTAGAAAGAACAAAGTAAACAATAACTTACCTCCTCCTGTTTCACCTTTTAAGTAAGTCATCTTACTAATCTAAAATACTAATGGGCATCTTACTAATCTTACTAATATTATAAACGCGAAAGTTTGTATGGATGTCTGGATGTCAACATGTTTGTTACTCTTTCACGCAAAAACTACTGAACGGATTTTGATGAAACTACAGTATTATTGTTTACTAGCTGACCCGGCGAACTTCGTACCGCCTTAGCGTAGAGATTTTCTTAATATTTTTTTCCGTAAGAACCATCCTTGGACTTCCACAAACATTTAAAAAAAAAGAATTGTCGAAATCGGTTCAGCCGTTCACACGTGATGCCGTGACAACGCGAAACGGGTTTCATTTTTATATATATAAGATAAGAAGATAAGATAACCCAGAATAACATATAGGCTATAATTTATGAACGGGTGAAGCCGCGGGCAAAAGCTCATAAGTATATTAATATATTTTTAGGATTTTTAATGGTTTACAGTTATAAATGACAGATACTCCTTACATCTAGTGCCGATTAGCAAAAAATAAAAACAAAATCACAAAACCATACGCTATTTATGCAATAAATAATGTTATAAGTAAGAGTGTGTTTCACTAATTTTAATGCATATTTTTTTTGTATAAAAGAAAAACACTAGTGATAATAATAATAATAAATACTTACAGAAGTGGTCAGGTCACATAGTAAAAAATAAGTCTGTTACAGTAGGCAACTGTAAAATGATCTTGATCTTGTAAGCAATAGTTTTTCAAAATGTATATTCACGGACATGTCTTCATGTAAATAGATACTGTTGGATCACATGTCCATAATGGCTATAAAAACGCATTAACAAAAGAAGAAAACTTCTGTCTGTCTTCTTCAACAATACACACGAAATAAACATTTTTAATTTTCACATGGGATGGAATGGAATAGGATAGATTTATTTGGTTTTACACGTAAATAATTATGTCAATGCCGAAAACAGTCATAAATGCATCCAGCACTATATCTGTACAATATAATTCGCGAGCATCTTTGCAGAGATGTGATCTAATATTTCTGACAGAAATTCACAGACTCAATCTGTGTCTTTATGCTGTGGCGCAGCGATAAAACGCCACGCTGTCAAAGTGCTAACAATACAATCTTATCACTACAAAACTGCTCATCCCAACTTATAGATAGCCCACTCATCTGTCAGCCTGGTCCAACATATCAGCCGCCGCCGTGGCGAGGTGTCGAGCGCTGGGCCGCATGGATGCCATGGTTTCTGTGCAGCAGTAGAAGATGGCGAGAGCGTGCGCGTACGCCTGCTCCGATATGTTGCCCGGGACTGGCGGACGCGTTCCTGGGGAGAAGAGTTAGAGTAGGCGCACACCGTTGATTTTTAGTTGGCCGATAGTTGTGCCCGATTTCAAATTGTATGAAGAATCGTCCAAATCGAATCGGCGTAGTGTGCGCACTCCCATACATGCCCAATGCCCATACTGATCAACAGCCCGACTAAACTATCGGCCGCGAAAAATCAACGGTGTGCGCCGCTTACTCTTAGGATGAGTTTAGTTAGATGAATGGTGGGTGAATGAAGGGTGAATTTCTTTACACGCGTAGCAATGTAATTTTGGTAATTATGTAAATTTTAATAGTGTACTCATTGTTGAAAAACCAAAATAAATAAGTATTCGTGTGCATTAATGGCTTTATTTTGAAATGTAGGACAATTTAGGTCCATTCCTAGCCTGGACTGGTGGCTGCAAAGACAATTAAAGTTATAGATTCAAGTAAAGTTGGAAAAAGTAAATTTTTACAATGATACATGAACAGAGCACTAGCAGCATAGCTTTTCACCTATAGAACTCAGTATTAATGAGCATATTTTTACATCATCATTATTATTTCAGCTACAGGACATCCACTGCTGAACATAGGTCTCCCCCAATGATTTCTATATCGCCTGGTTGGTAGTTGCTTGCATCCGGCGCACCTTCTGGGATATTTACATAGTAGCACAATATTTTAATTAAACAACAAGATAACAATTATTTCCATATTTGCTAAACATGGCAAAAAATTGGGGCGGTGAGATAGTGGCGCCATCTTGTCAATTTCAATGTTTTGATTATTATTGCTTTCTTTTTTTAATTTAAAATATAGGTTGGAGTGGAGAGCCGCCCGCTGAAAACCAGCGTCGGGGCACGCGTGGCTCGACTAATGCTGAGCGGGCGCCTTTTTGGCACAAAAATATGCATGTATAGTTTTAAGTCCCTTTGTTCTGTTTTTTATTTTCCTTTTGTGTCAAATAAAGTTTTTCTTATTCTTATTGCTCACTCACCATATCTCTCAGAGAAGTAATCTTCTTCCATGCTGGCATCCGTGTCATTAAGCTCCACGACACTAGCGTCCATAGTCTCGTCCTGCTGTGTGTGCGGAGGCATCAGCGCCATCATCTCCCATAGAGTGAGCCCGAGCGGCCAGATGTCTGTTTTGGTGGTGATCTGCCCACCGTGGATCACTTCCGGGGCACTCCATGCTTCAGTGCCTGGAATAATTCAACAATATCTTTTATTGAACCAAAAAAATATTAATTTGATTACAGTAGAATCTCGATTATCCGGACTCATTCTTCATGGTTTCTAATTTCCGATTCAGGATCTGGACCCATAAAAACCGAAGGCGCCGCCACCGTAACATGGTAAGGACGTCTTTTTAGTTCATTGTTAAAAGAAATAGATGACCTATGGCCTAAAATTAAGATTTTTAGACTCTAAAATGATGTAATTGAAAACCGTAACCGTATATTTGTATTGTAAAAAAGTTAATTATTGTTTGATTTTACTTTGAAATCGATTATCCGGATTTTCGAATATCCGGAACACCCCTGGTTTTAATTGATCCGGATAATCGGAATTCTACTGTTAAATCCACTGTAAGTACCTACTTGTGTAATTTAAAGCAATAAATGACTGAATTACTGTTGTATTTGTGTATTTTTTTCTATGTATAGTTCTTATTATTATTGGTTCATACCATAGATCAAAAACTAAAGGTTGATGTGACAAGGGGGTGGGGCTTTTTGATTACTTTGTGTGTGTGAATTTCTAATGCGACACTGGGTTTCGAACTCAGTTCATTAGTTGGCATCTCTCTAGATTTCTATGGTTCATACAAAGAAAAAATATTTTAGAAAAATAGTATTATAACATACCAAAGTAAACTGCCTTCTTCCCAGCTTTCTTCTTGTCAAAGACACCATTCTCGTCAAGTGGCAGAGTGACTCCGAAGTCGCACAGTTTGCAAATTACAAAGTCACCGTTCACAAGTATGTTGTATGACTTCATGTCTCCATGCAAAATCTGCATCTTCGTGTGGAGGTAGTCAAGTGCCTCTGAAATGTCTAGAGCCACCTGAAAGTCATAAAAACAATTATTCAACACAGTTGAATAATCAATCTAAATAATAAATATCCTTGGACATTTTTTTACATTGTGCTTCTAGTCCCAAACTAAGCAAAGCTTGTACTATGGGTACTAGACAACTATAAACGGATATAAATAATGTTACAAAACATCATAATATTATACTGGAGGAAGGATTGTAATTCTAAGACGCACCTTTAAAATTTGTTTAGGAGCGAACGGCTCTCCGTCATTTTCCACTCTCTTCTCAATCATGTCTCCCAGAGACAGGTCACAGGCCTCCATGCCCAAGTACAGGATCTTATTGTTACTGAACGCTCGGAACCCAACTATGTTCGGGTGGGACATCTTCTGTAAAAGGTCTGCCTCCACTTTCAAGCGCTCAGAGTACACTTTGCAGGGTTTTACTCGCTTGTTCAACATTTTTAGAGCCCATGGAGACCGCATTTGACCAGCTCTAGGCGATCTTACTAGTTGCATTACATTCACGCCTGAAATTATGTATTAATGATTATTTCAATAGTCACTTGATATTTAAATATATCTAGCGTATAGACTAGTTAATTTTAGACGTACCTGTGCCATATCCAAGTCTGTTTAGAAAGGGAGAAGGAGGAATGGTAACAACTTCTGACTCCACTGTCTTCTTCTTAATCGGCGTCACAAATTCTGTCATGTTTGGTTTAAATATGTTCTTGTTTATGTGTAATACACTAATTTAAACTTTATATAAATTAGAGTGTTTTGCAAGATATTAATTTCAACAAAAATGTTTGTTTTGTTTTTCACTCCCACCCAACGAACGAATTTTAAAACTTTTTTGGCATTAGCCGGAAAGCGACGCCATCTTTTTTTGTCGTCGGTTGGATTAAGGCTTTGGCTGTGTGTGGTTTGCACATTACCCAATAAATAAAAAATAAGGTGATTCAAAATGATGTTAGTAAAATAAGTTTCTGTATTAATTTCTGATAGATGCGTGCGACACTTGGCTGAGACCTCACGCGAAAATTGTAGTTCGAATTTAAAATGTTGCAACATTTTCAGTTGAAACTTATCTGAATGTTTGTTTTTATAGTTGGTTGGCTATCAACTAACAATAATTTAATCTAGTCTGCGACTGGGTTACGTCAAATTTTGATCGTCCTTCAGCCCGTTTTCTTTCGACTTCGTTGACAAAAAAGGATTGATAAGACTGGCAACATAGTTATTTAATCTACGGCCTAATGTGCGGCGCGGGAATTTAAACGAGGTGGGTACACCAACGCGGCAAAGTTCGAAATGGGATTCAGAGATGCACTTTTAATACTAAAATGGCTTTGGGATATAATATTAGTTTTTGTAAGCTTTTTGAGATATCTAATAGAAAAATAACTTTGTAAACTTCTCCGTAATGAGCATGTTGGTTTATTTTACACTAGCTTTCCGCCCATGGCTTCGCGCGCGTGGACCCCTGAACCCTATGTTTTTCCAAAATAAAATGTAGCCTATGTTACTCGTGGATAATGTACCTAGCTTTCAAATGGTGAAAGAATTTTTCAAATCGGCCCAGTACTTTTTGAGCCTATTCATTACAAACATACAAAAATAGGTAGAAATCTTTCCTCTTTATAATATTAGTGTAGATGTAGATGTAATACCTAACTTAGATATTTGAAATACGATATTTAGGGAAATTAATTTGTGACATCTGACTAAACTAGTTACTGAGTGGATAATTAATGAAGAAATCTAGCCATAAGCCCAAGGATCGGTTGTTGAGACATTTCCGCGGCGCGAGCCCGGCAATGACGCGTGCGCACGCCAAATATGTGGCGTAATGTTGAAAGATATACGTGCGATCACGCACAATAAATTAGCAGACAGACTACTTATTTATTATTAATTTAGAATACATTAATTAATCAAATAAACCTGTTTGTTGGATGGATTCAAACGCTATACAGCTGTACTTAGGTTTAAAGAACTTTATTCTCATAAGAAATTTACATTTCACTTATAATGAGATACTAAAATATGTAATAAATAAGTAAATTACAAATTAGGCACGTAGTTTGAGTTAGTTAAATGACACCTTCAATTTAGCTCTGTAAACAAATCGGTAAAACAATATTTTTCGAGCTAGTCTGGTGAAGTCACAAAAAACCTTTGGGAAATGGGAGGATCTGCTGCACGTTTTTACAACTCATAAAAAGTAAATAAATTATAATAAAATAAATAAAAAAACGTTTATTGCTTTTTAACACAAGAAACAAAATACTGACTACTTAAGTACTTAGTGGTGTCAAATGGCTGAGTTGCACCACCTAACTTTGACCGTAACTTTGACGATGACCGGTGTTTTTTGTATGGAAATTGACAGATTTTAGACGTTTGTCAAAGTTAAAGTAAGATAGTGAAACTCAGCGTAAGATGCCTAAGAAACATCCAACAGAAATAGCCTCGAAATTTGAAGTTATTATACTCTTCTGTAATGTAGAAAAACACCGTTCGTCTGACTAATGAAGTGCGGATATAAGTTTATTTATTATTGCTTGTTCAAGTAATTTCCTTAAGGATGTCTCATTTAGGCACACGCACAACGCAATAATTTAGTTTAAGTACTCGTACCTATTAAATCAATCACCCTGTTGAAATTGAAACCATTAAAAATATGCAATATAAGTGTTATTCTACAAACAAATGCGAAAGTTTGTGATGAATGTTTGTTACTCGACGTAAAAACAACTTAAAAACCCAGCCAATTGCGAGTCGGACCGAGGGTTCCGTACAAACTTGTAGGTATTTTTTTTGTTAAAAACAAGATTATTAGTAATTTGTTATTGGGTACACAAACTAATAGTCCCGTTGGTCCCTCGTACTAAGCTAAATATACTTGTATCACGAGTCAGCTACCTAGATCAGGAAAATTTAGAGAAAAATCTGTATTTTTAGAGTCCGTAAAGAAATTAAAAGACACTGCCCATCGTATTGTGACGACTTATTTTAGACAATGCCCAAATAGGCCTACATTGTTTTAATTTTTTTATCCGAACTATGACTGTTGGTATCTGGGGGCACGGCAGTGCCCCCACCAAGTCGAGCAGAAAAGCGGNACCATGTCAGAAATCGTCTATAGCGGAATGGCCCTGTACATACATGCAGTACATGCATATTTTTTTTAATGTGACAGGAGGCAAACAACAGATGGATCAATGGACGGATGGATGAGATGCATATGGTGTAGACTGTAGACAAATCAATCTGAACTTGACTTTAAGACCTAATAGCTGAATATTTAGCTAATGCTGTAGATTTAAGTCTCTCTGTGAGCTGTAAAAGTTACAGCATAGTGTGTGAGAGCAAAAGCTTCATATTACATAATGTTGACCATCAAGAAGGCTTATTCTGCCACTATGAAATTAAAAATAATTTGATTTTTTTAAAATATTATTTTGATTAATTAATTACAAAGAAAGAAAAAGTATTTATTCGATGCAAGTACAAAATAAAATAACAAATAAATATTATTATATTTACTTATTATATTTATTTATTATATAGGGTGTTAGGTAAATGGGTATATGAGCCGACACTAGACCATGTTAACATGGTCATATAAATGGTATGGTGAAGTCAGAAATTTGATATCATCATTTTGATTTTTTTAATTTTCATACAAAATAAATTTTATAAAATCCGATTTGTATGAAAATTAAAATAATTAAAATGAAGATATCAATTTTCTGACTTCACCATACCATTTATATGACCATGTTAACATGGGCTAGTGTCGGCTCATATACCCATTTACCTAACACCCTGTATACCAAACAGTAAGGTACATACACCAAAATGGCATCTGCTCAGTATAAGCCGTGACAGCAGAGAGCGCGTCACAACCACTGGTATTCTGCGGATGCCAGTTGAGCAAAAGAACATTGTAATTTTATTGCACACTCACCATATCTCTCAGAGAAGTAATCCTCTTCCTCCATACTGGCCTCCGTGTCATTAAGCTCCACCACACTAGCGTCCATGGTCTCGTCCTGCGTGTGCGGGGGCATCAGCGCCATCATCTCCCACAGCGTGAGCCCGAGCGGCCAGATGTCTGTTTTGGTGGTGATCTGCCCACCGTGGATCACTTCTGGGGCACTCCATGCTTCAGTGCCTGGAATAATTCAACAATATCTTTTATTGAACCAAAAAAATATTAATTTGATTAGTTAAATCCACTGTAAGTACTAGTGTAATTTAAAGCAATAAATGGCTGAATTATTGTTGTATTTGTGTATTTTTTTTCTATGTATAGTTCTTACTATTATTGGTTCATACCACAGATCAAAAACTTAAGATAGATGTGAAAAGGGGGCGGGGCTTTGGGGGAAAAATGCTAATTTTATTAACATACCAAAGTAAACTGCCTTCTTCCCAGCTTTCTTCTTGTCAAAGACACCGTTCTCATCAAGTGGCAGGGTGACTCCGAAGTCGCACAGTTTGCAGATCACAAAGTCACCATTCACAAGAATGTTGTACGACTTCATGTCTCCATGTAAGATCTGTATCTTCGTGTGGAGGTAGTCAAGTGCCTCTGAAATGTCTAAAGCCACCTGAAAACCATAAAAACATTTAGTTAGTCAAAATAATAGTAAGTAATATTCAAGGAATTACTATAATTCTAAGACGCACCTTTAAAATTTGTTTAGGAGCAAAGGGCTCCCCGTCATCTTCCACTCTCTTCTCAATCATGTCTCCCAGAGACAGGTCACAGGCCTCCATGCCCAAATATAGGATCTTATTATTACTGAACGCTCGGAACCCAACTATGTTCGGGTGGGACATCTTCTGTAAAAGGTCCGCCTCCACTTTCAAGCGCTCAGAGTACACTTTGCAGGGTTTTACTCGCTTGTTCAACATTTTTAGAGCCCATGGAGACCGCATTTGACCAGCTCTAGGCGATCTAACTAGTTGCATTACATTCACGCCTGAAATTATGTATTATTGATTATTTCAACAGTCACTTGATATTTGAATATATCTAGCGTATAGACTAGTTAATTTTAGACGTACCTGTGCCATATCCAAGTCTGTTTAGAAAGGGAGAAGGAGGAATGGTAACAACTTCTGACTCCACTGTCTTCTTCTTAATCGGCGTCACAAATTCTGTCATGGTTGGTTTAAATATGTTCTTGTTTATGTGTAATACACTAATTTAAACTTTATATAAATTAGAGTGTTTTGCAAGATATTAATTTCAACAAAAATGTTTGTTTTGTTTTTCACTCCCACCCAACGAACGAATTTTAAAACTTTTTTGGCATTAGCCGGAAAGCGACGCCATCTTTTTTTGTCGTCGGTTGGATTGGCTTTGGCTGTGTGTGGTTTGCACATTACCGAATAAATAAAAAATAAGGGGATTCAAAATGATGTAAAATGAGTTTCTGTATTAATTTCTGATAGATGCGAGCGACACTTGGCTGAGACCTCACGCGAAAATTGTAGTTCGAATTTAAAATGTTGCAACATTTTCAATTGAAACTTATCTGAATGTTTGTTTTTATAGTTGGTTGGATATCAACTAACAATATTTAATCTAGTCTGCGACTGGGTTACGTCGAATTTTGATCATCCTTCAGCCCGTTTTCTTTCGAGTTCGTTGACAAAAAAGGATTGTTAAGACTGGCAACATAGTTATTTAATCTACGGCCTAATGTGCGGCGCGGGAATTTAAACAAGGTGGGTACACCAACGCGGCAAAGTTCGAAATGGGATTCAGAGATGCACTTTTACTAAAATGGCTTTGGGATATAATATTAGTTTTTGTAAGCTTTTTGCGATATCTAATAGAAAAATAACTTTGTAACCTTCTCCGTAATGAGCTTGTTAGTTTATTTTACATGTAATACCGAACTTAGATATATTTTGTAATACGATATAGGGAAATTAATTTGTGACATCTGACTAGACTAGTTACTGACAGTGGATAACTAATGAAGAAATCTAGCCATAAGCCCAAGGATCAGTTGTTGAGACATTTCCGCGGCGCGAGCCCGCCAATGACGCGTGCGCACGCCAAATATGTGGCGTAATGTTGAAAGATATTATACGTGAGCACAATAAATTAACAGACAGACTTCTTATTTATTATTAATTTAGAATACATTAATCAAATAAACCTGTTTGTTGGATATGGATTCAAACGCTATACACAGCTGTAAATCAAATCAAATCAAATTTCTTTATTTTCGTAATTCCAGGTACATAGGTACTTTTATCCAAAAATATTATAAGACGTGAAAAGTACGTTTGCAAGTAGTTTTGGAGTTAGTTAAATAACAGCTTCTTTATAACACCTTCAATTAAGCTCTGAAAACAAATCTGTAAAACAATATTTTTCGAGCTGGTCTGGTGAAGTCACAAAAAACCTTTGTGAAATGGGAGGATCTGCTGCACGTTTTTACAACTCATAAAAAGTAAATAGTTAAATTGTAATAAAATAAATAAAAAAACGTTTACTGCTTTTTAACACAAGAAACAAAATACTGACTACTTAAGTACTTAGTGGTGTCAAATGGCTGAGTTGCACCACCTAACTTTGACCGTAACTTTGACGATGACCGGTGTTTTTTGTATGGAAATTGACAGATTTTAGACGTTTGTCAAAGTTAAAGTAAGATAGTGAAACTCAGCGTAAGATGCCTAAGAAACATCCAACAGAAATAGCCTCGAAATTTGAAGTTAATACTCTTCTGTAATGTAGAAAAACACCGTTCGTCTGACTAATGAAGTGCGGATGTAATGTAAGTTTATTTATTAATGCTTGTTCAAGTAATTTCCTTAAGGATGTCTCATTTAGGCACACACAACGCAATAATTTAGTATAATAGGTACTCGTACCTATTAAATCAATCACCCTGTTGAAATTGAAACCATTGAAAAATATGCAATATAAGTGTTACGTATATATCTACAAACAAATGCGAAAGTTTGTGATGAATGTTTGTTACTCTACGTCAGCGGTTCCCAAATTTATTTTGTCTACTGCCCACTTTGAGAATAAATTCTTTTTAGCGCCCCCATTTGTAGTTGAGAGTCGAGTGCTCAGTCGGTGTCTAAGAGACCTCTTAGTAAATGACGCCTCCCAAGCCTCTACACAACGTCCCCATTTTTTTTCTGGGTCTCTTACCGCCCCCCTTTAAGCCTGCAGCGCCCACAAGGGAGCGTTATCGCCCACTTTGGGAAAGACTGGTCTACGTAAAAACAACTGAAAAACCCAGCCAATTGCGAGTCGGACCGAGGGTTCCGTACAAACTTGTAGGTATTTTTTTTTGTTAAAAACAAGATTATTAGTAATTTGTTATTGGGTACACAAACTAATAGTCCCGTTGGTCCCTCGTACTAAGCTAAATATGCTTGTATCACGAGTCAGCTACCTAGATCAGGAAAATTTAGAGGCTTTAATCATAAAAAATCTTTATTTTTAGAGTCCGTAAAGAAATTAAAAGACACTGCTCATCGTATTGTGACGACTTATTTTAGACAATGCCCAAAAAATAGGCCTACATTGTTTTAATTTTTTTATCCGAACTGTGACTGTTGGTATAATAATATTGCATTGAGTCTATGGTGGTGGAACGCACGCACGATTACTTACCAGAATCTAACGTAACAGCAGTTGATCGTGCTTGCTCAGACACGAAATCTTCGTTCGATTCTAAAAATTGCCACAATAAACGCAGTGAAGTGGTAGATAGAAGAACGTATTGGGGATGATTTAAATGAAATACTACTAAATGCCACAAATCACCAATCAGAGAAACTATAACTTTCATTGATATTGTTTGTTACCGATGCGTCTTATGAAGTCTCGTTACTCCACGAACACGCATCAATCTGCATTCGTTTGAATATCGATCGATGTTACAATCATTACGCGCGGGCGCATAGCGGAATCTGAAAAAGGTGCATGCATACATTATGGATACCTATGTCTTAATCCAAGCAATCATACTGTCACAAAATTACTGAATTAGCGGTTAAACCGTGTGTGAAAATGGAAAACCAAGGCTGAGGAACTAGGGTGCTGGAGTTAATAGGTGAAGAGCAAATGTCCTTAGTTCTCTAATCGGTTGGTCAATGGAAGGAAGCTCGGTGCGCGCGCGTCAGTGACTTCGCGGAGCGCGCGAGTAACGGCCGCGCCAGTGTCGCACGCTGCCGCAAGATGTCGCCGTGCAACACTTACAGGTGAGTTGCGCAGGAGTGGCGCCCAACGTTGTTTATGGGGTGTTATTTGTGGTGTGCGGTTTTAGATTAAATTGTGTAATGTTATGGTGTGATTTACTAACTTTAAAAAATTATAGGCAGGGCTCCGTTTTTAGTTTTAACTGATACCTGAAACCTTTGCAATTTGACATGTTAGTTTAGTGTTAAATGTAGCGAATTATTTAGGTTAATGTTAAATTATGTTAAAATACGAGTAATTACGTATGTACTACAAAATTAATTACACATAAATACCTAGATTTGGTATTGTGAATGTGTATAATTTATGGAATTACAATAAAATATTTAGTAGGTAATTAATAAAAATAAACCACCAGGTGCTGTATAAATATTTTAATAAGTTTTTGATCTCTGGATAAATTTTTGAGTTCATTGTTGATTCGAAAATAAAGTAAAAGTACTTTTTAAAAGCCTACTTGCATAAATAAATAAGTTTTATGCGTTTTGAGTGTCTACATATTTTTAAATAATAATCATGGAGGGCAAAGGTAACATTCAAAGGTTTCATTACATCTATATTCATCAGTGAAAAATTGGATTTATTTTCTGTTGCATAAATTCTGACTAACTAAGTATTCGATAAATTAATTCTATGACATACCTAATCGCAGATATTTACAATAATTTTACGCTGTAATCCAGGTAAGTGAATTTAAGTAAAGTTATCTAAACGTAAGTATTTGTACGAAGTTACAAAAAGTTGCTAATGATTCGTAATCCGAGTCCAACGTGCCACTTAATTACATACGTATTGATCGGATTTATCGCGTTTTTTCTTTACGGACAGTTTTCTAGTTTCCTTCGGTTCTCGTTAATTGCCGAGTCGTCGGACCCGTCGGTTACGATGCGACGCGCGCGCAGCCAGCGCGGCAACGCACGGCAAGGATGTCGCAGCGGAGCTTCGGATATAGTATATCTAAGTATATCAGATATACTTCTTTCATTTACATTGATAGGATGTCGACTGTATGATGTTCACCTATTAGTCCACTCAATGAAAGAAGCAAGTATCAAGTTTCATCTGAAAGTCGAAAACAATTCCCTAAATGGTATTCCGTGGCCTTGAAAATAAATCAAGTTCAACTGTCTAGCAGAAAAAAATAACGAATGTAAATATTTACAATGTCTCTTCTTCTTTTGATAGTCACTTGAAGAAAAACACTAGTTATGAACTTAGCGACTAGAGTCGCTTCTCAAACTCAATTAAAAAATAAACAACTTGAAAAAATCGAACTGCCTAAGGCAGGTTCATTAAACAATAGAACAATAAAATATCCTTCAAGATGCTTCTAGAAGACACTGATGGATGAGGTTATGTAGAAGATAGATAATATGATTGAAAATTATACCCGCTTATTTTATTTTTGATTATTACTTACATGTCACATTAATAACTAATTATTTTCTCTACATTTCTTTCACCTCTTATTTTTCTTTGATGTAGAGATGCACTAAGCAGGCAACCCTTGTTTGTTTTGATTAAAACAAGAACGAAGAAGTAAGTAATAAAAACCGCAACACGATTGTTTTAGTTCGCGTGAAATGTTCAGACGCCATCTTTCGGTTCATTATGTCAACATGTGCGCACACGCATGCGTAAACGCTCGTTTTCATTAAAACAGTTCAGGTTTCAAAGAAAATATTGATTTATTCGCATTTATTGAGGACAAATCAAATTTATCCAATTACCTAATGATCGAGAAATCTATTTAAAGATGGAAATCGGTTTTTATTTTATACGCGTCAGTGCAAAATATCGACAGTTAATTGAAAGTAACAATAAATAAGAATATTAATACAGATCTCTAATACTAATAAATTCATAACTACTTACCCACTGAAACACTAGGCATCCAACATTCCTAGCGATTCATCATTCACGTCGTTTAATTTTTAATTAACTTTAGTTAGTTACTTTCAATTTTTGATTTAAATGGTAATAATGTTCAAATACGTCTAAAACTCTAGATCAGTCTTCCGCAATGGTCATGGCCCAGTTAGTGCGCTCGGAAAAATAAGTTGGCTTTTAAAGTTAAATACACAACACAACGAAGAAAAA